GTGTGTGTGTGTGTGTGTGTGTGTGTGTGTGTGTGTGTGTGTGTGTGTAAAAGCCCAGAAAGCCTTCTTCTTATGGTGAAGAGGCTAGGAGGCAGGGTACACACTGAAGAAGCTGCGGGCTGCAGTACAGAGTGGTCTCCAACCTTTTCAGCAGTCCCACCCAGAGGAGGGATGGGCTGAAAACGCAACTCAAGTAACAAATTACTTGTACAAATAAATTAAAAGTACACATTCTTAAAAACTTAGGTACAGCACTCAAGCAAATTTACTTGTTACTGCTCACCTCTGAGTATAGAGCACAGAAACTTATTGAACCAGAACAGTTTTACGAGATCTTGTGACAGACATCTGATTGCAAAATAAAATCAAATCCTGCTGAAATACGTAGATTAATTTGGATTTTTGGCATTTACTCTAAGTCTAATAAGATCTAAGATAACATGATTTAGCACAAATTCAAATGTACTTTTTTACATTCACACAGCTTCAACGGCACTTAGGATGCTGCGAGTTTAAACCAGTTCATCTTGTTACCATTTCAATGACAATGTAAGAATCTATCTTTGAGCACAAGAGGAGAACTGTTCAGAATTTGTTAACGGTGACCCAACAAAATATATTTGACCACAAAGCCCCCCAAAACAATAAAATAAACATTTGAAATATACGTGGATATTATCAAAGCATATCCAAAAACACTCCAGACCATTTTTTACACACCTCAAAATGAGAAATAGTTCATACAAACAGCTATAGTTTTAAATGTAGATAACATTTATTATTAACCAGAAAATATACTGTAAAACACCAATACATTTATAAATATAAATTTATACCAAGAGTAATGGAATAAAGTTTATTGTTTTTGTATGTTATAGTATAACAAAAATAAGAAACAAAAAAGAGAAATAAAAGGTTTTGTGATGATTTTAATGACGTTTGTATTTGATTAGTTTTTTAACACTCGTATAGCCTGACCCTTCCTGCAGCAAAGAAAAATTTCTTGTTAATTTGTAACACTTGTATTTACATAAATGAAAATTTTGTGTAAGATTAAAGTAAAAATATGCATTAGTTTACATTAGTTTACTCTAAATGCAGATGTGAACATGCAGTATTTATACACTATTGTCTGTTTTACACTGCTTTCTTTAAAAACAATTTAAAAAAGACCTCACCTGAGCAAAAAACTCTGTTAGAAAACAAACACAGTGATTATTTTAATTCAATATTTGTAACCCTGACTGACATTGTGGAGCTTTTCCCCCTAAACAACAATGAGGTAAACTATTCATCCAATTTACGTGAGAACAAAGCCACAATTGTGATTGTGATTTTAAGGAGCACCAGACATAATCTTACACATTGTCAACCACAGAGTCCAGAAATAACCTCTCTTAAAAAAAATATGTAGTTCTGACCAAAAATAAACATTGTGACTTTTGGTACTATAAGCTTATTGCAAAATCGCCTTGCTAAATAGGAATTTTAATCAAAATTAAATTTAGTCGAGCACAATATTAGCTTGGCTTGTCAGTCTTGTGGTAAGAATTCCTTTCTAAAAGCTTATCAAACAGCCCATTTACATAATGAGCATGCCTGAATAACAGAGTAAATAAATACACCTCTTCAGTAAATAAGACATGTTTTGTGTCCATCTCTGTGGTAGTAACCAGACTTGGTTTTGTCCTTTAGCCATGTGCATGGCGACTTCAGACATCCTGGAGGTGAGCGGCCATGTTGGTGAAAATGTCTCCATTCCTTGCTTTGGCAGCTGGACCACTGATGATTCAGAAAATATCAGTATGTATTTCTGCAAAGGCGTCTGCTCCAGGGAGAATACCATCCTTCAGACCAACACAAAGAGGCCCTTTGTGCAACAAGGGAGACACAGCATGGAGGTCAGTGCTGCCGATGGAGTTTTAACTGTGTCTATAAAGAGGCTGAGGAGGGCCGATGCTGGSAGCTATCTCTGTGGAGTGAAGAGAAGCTCTAATGTGTCGTACCAGGAAGTCACTCTTAAAGTTGTTGATGGTAAGTTGTTTGGTTGAGTTGCCTTTTAGGACACATCAAAACAGGGTCAGTTCTTTGTGAAGGCCCTGTCACACTGGATAGCTTATGCCAACTTTAGGGCTGGGCGATATGGCCCAAAAAATAATATCTCAGATTGTTTTCATCCCAAATTAGATTTTCGATTTTAATCGATTTTGTTTCGATTTGAAACAAAATCGAAATCGATTTTTATTTTCAAGAGCCTTCAACAGATTTTGCAGTGAGGTGTTCGTTGCTCCAAGTCCAAGTTTGCAGAACCTGACCAGTTCCAGAAAACTGAAGAAACAGTGCCTTTTTTGAGAAGTAGATCCTCTCTGCTAGCTGCCATGTTGTCATGGCGTGTACCAAGCATCTTGAGGGACAGGTGGGGTGACCTCTGAACTACAGAAGCCTCAAAGAGTGCACAGGTGGGGAAAAAATCTTGATTTTCCCCAAATTAAATCTTTATAAATGGCAAATTCGAATTACTTGATTAAATCAATTTATCGCCCAACCCTAGCCAACTTATCAGTGTTGTATAAAGTACCACAAAGTGATACTTGAGTAAAAGTACAAGTGTATTACCAAAAAATTACTTTGGTAAAAGTTAAAGTCTCCTTTAGGAAAATTACTTAAGTAAAAGTCTTAATGATCTGATATTTCTTGTACTTAAGTATTAAAAGTAAAAGTGCTTATTTAAAATGAGCAGTTAGATTTTCTGTTAAGACATTTATTAGGAGGTGACCTCCTCAAAAAAATACAAAATGAATGTATATATATA